GCACATTCAGCTGCATCTCTGTGGGCACTTCACGAGGAGCGAGACATTGCCATTGCGAGAAAGGCTTGTTGGACATGTCCGAGTCGAAAGAGGGCGTTCGTATGTCATTCGAACTCATTTTTGTGTGGAAGCTTTCGTATAATTCCAACGCTTCTGGTCTCGAATATCCTTTCTTTATTGGCTGTGGAGAGCTGCAGAGGCTTAGTACAAGCACACAACAACAAAAGCCATACTGCTTACGCCTTTTTCTTGCTTCTCATGTCCAGAACAGACGGCCATGTTGAAGAACAGTGTTCGCCGGCCGATGAACTCGCTCTGCTTCGGCTTGTCACAAACGACTCTGGACTCATTGTTGACAGTTGAGGTGCGTCGTCGCTATCTACTGTGATGGGCGTCATTGCCTCATCTCGGTCATCTGCCCAACAAGATCAGCGCAACTCCCAACACGACATGGTGATTGAAGACCTACTCGAGGCATGTGATGAAATGGAGCTTGATTGTCGAGACGAGTTATCACCTTCTAGTTCTGAGAGCTGGTGGTATTCATCCAAGTGTAAAGAGTTGCCGGATGGCAGAGTGCCAGAAAGCGAGCTAGTATACGTCCAACTTGGTTGCAGCGCCGGATCCTTGAATTCACGGGCCTTTTTCATATCCAGTGTCGCCGGAACATTACGGAAAGTCTTTTGCGAAGACTGACTGGAGCCGGACGGAGGTCGTATGATTTTAGGCTTGATGATGTTTGCCTTCTTCAAGCTTGTCGGCCACCATGCGTCACGCTCAGTCGAGGCAGAGCCTCTCGAACTTCTTGATGTAGTCGAGGCACCGATGGATGGAGACCTAACGGATCGCTCCTTCGCCTTTCGTTCTCTCCGGGCTCCGAATGTCTCGGGCTCTTTCTCCAGTGGAAGGTCTGTTGCGAACATGTTCGACTACGGATGAGGAGGCACAGTGGGGGTTAGTGGGGCCACACTCTAAGTCGACGGCCCTAGGTGGCGAGCGCAGAGCGTGGACTGGAGGCTATTTGTGAATGAAATGGAGCCTTCTGGTCGGTCAATGCACGCCGACACGGGCGCCTGGCAGATGGTGTTGCGGCCGCCAGGCAGACCACGTAGCGGTACCTGGCACCGGCCGTATGTGAGTAATTGACGAAACGCTGTCGCACCAACGAGAATGTGGCGTTATTGACCTCTTGATTCTACTTTAGGTCTAATATCAGGGCTTCCCGAGCCAAACTACACGGCCAAGCGCACTACCCACCCCCATGCTGTCGTGCTCGGATGCTAGGCGCACGGTTGCCCAACACAATGCCCTTCTTGGACATGCTGGTCGCATTGCTGGAGAGGTCTGCGGCCACACGTGCTAAGGGCGTGCAATGCGTCTCTCTATCTGGTGCGGGACTTCCCCGAAAAAAGCACACTGCAATGCTGCACGATAGGCGCAGCCAGCCTGGTCAGGCCGTCGGCCTCTTGGTCTGCACTCCGCGGTATTCGGTCGCAAGGTTTGACAAGGAGACATGGTGGCCCGTCTTGTGGAGCACCAGCAGGCTTACCAGACACGGCTGGCAGACATAAGAGGAAAAATCGAGTCGTTCGGCGGCGGGAGATCAGTGTTGATCTTCGTCGACGCAGGCCAAGTGCCACGCACCCGGCGTAGCGGCGCAAAGTCTGGCCTTTGAGCACTGGGCACAGGACACCTACTACCGACACATTAGACACGCCATGTGCAGTCAAAAGAAACAACCCCCCATGGCGCAACACCCACTGCCACTGAGACGCCGAGGCGTTGGCCGTCTGCTGCCAGTGCGGGGCGAGTATTACTGCACTGATGATCGACAGATGCGCCAGGCGAAATGCGGCTCGATCTGCAGCGAGGGTGCCTGACTAACCCCGGCCGGCCCACCCGCGCCCCTGACTCGCTTCTGCCCATGATCATACAATGCTCAACCACCACCTCCACCACCACACAGGGCTACTTCACCTACACCCCACCCGCGCGTATCATTCCACAGCATCCGGTTCGCCTGTACGACAACGCTCTTGCGGCGGCGGCACTGACTAGGATCATGCCACCACTGCGTCACCCCTTAGTTCCCTACATGAGAACGCTTTCGGATGCTTGTTTTCTGACCTGGTGCCGGAACTGGCTCTCCTTGCTCCCCGCCCCCGTCAGCGCCTTGCCGTCTGGCCTGCTTCTGGTCTCCAGACTAGCAAAGCCTCGGAGCCCTCTTATCTCTCAGTGGCATTATCATCTGCCTTTTGCTTATGGCTTCGGTCTGACTCGTCGCAGTCGCAAGCCCTATACATGACATCTGCTTTTGCTTGAGCCTCGTTCATGCTTGCTTATACCACGCCACCCGCGACACACATATAGTCGGTGCAGGCAGATCGTTCGCAGTCCTCCTGCTCGCCCCCTCCTCCCAGCAAAGATCCGCATCTCCACATTTGCTTGTCTTCACACATCTGCAGCCATGGAAACCTATCACGCCTATGTCGACGCTTTCAATGCCCAGGTCGGAAAGTCAACTTTCGGGAGGATATTTCGCCTCGACGGCTGTGGACATGTGTGTTTCATTGCTAGCATTCGCGCCCTGCTATCACTCGCTGACATGCCAAATAGGAGGATGAAATCAAGCACACTAGGTTTACTACAGAAATTCGAGCTGGGCTCACTTCATTCTTCACCATGGCGTACATCATCGCTGTCAATGTTAGTCTGTGAAGGGTCGCATGCCAAAAACGTTACTGAGAGACTAGGCTACCATTCTCTCGGACACCGGCGGAAACTGCGTATGCAACGACACAGCCGACCCTTTATGCTTAAAAAACAGCGAGTACCTCATTTGCAAACAAGGTATGAGCAGTCTAGGCAGGAACTAGAAGCTTTGGCTAACACATGACCAGATGTCAACCGTAATCTCATCACAGCAACAGCAGCAGTAGCAGGCTTTAGTTCCTTCCTGTTTGGATTCTTAACGAACATGCCAGTATGCCTCGCCCCAGGAATGGGACTCAACGCATACTTTGCTTATCAAATCGTGGGTTTCCATGGAGGCGGTCTTATCTCTTACAACCTCGCACTTACTGCCGTCTTCGTCGAGGGCCTGATATTCATCTTCATGTCCTTGATTGGAATGCGACAATGGCTCGTTAAGGTGATCCCGGTGTCGCTCAAGATTGCCGCTGCTTGCGGCATCGGGCTATTCCTAGCCGAGGTGGGTCTCAGCAATAACGCTGGCATTGGAGCTATTGCGGGTTCGAGCAGTACACCACTTGACATTGCTGGATGTCCAAATCAATACAAGGATGAGTTTGGCGCTTGTAAAAGCCACAAGATGACATCACCGACGGTACGTTGTGTCACAATACCTGGACAAAGCCCAGCTAATCAGAGCATTTAGATGTGGCTTGGCATCATGTGCGGCGGCATCCTGACAGCGTATTTGATGTCTTACAAAGTCAAGAGTGCCATGATACTGGCTATTCTGCTTGTATCTATCATCTCATGGCCGTACGTTTGATGAATTCTTCTGAAAGTCGAATTGTACTAAAATCTTTACAGACGAGGAACTGAAGTGACCTTCTTCCCCGACTCCGAAATTGGCAACGACCGATTCAACTTTTTCAAAAAGGTGGTCAGCTTCCAGCCTATTGATCGTACCTTGAACGCATTAGATTGGAACATATCCGAAAAGTCTGGTCACTTCGCCCTCGCTCTCTTTACCTTTCTTTACGTCGACATCATTGATTGTACCGCAACGCTCTACTCCATGGCCCGCTTTTCTGGTGTTGTCGACTCAGAGACTGGGGACTTCCCCAGATCAACAATCGCTTACTGCACAGACGCTTTCTGCATATCCATCGGCGCGCTCCTTGGCTGTTCGCCTGTCACAGCTTTTATTGAAAGTGGCGCTGGCATCGCCGAAGGAGGAAAGACTGGTCTGACAGCAATGACTTGTGGGCTATGTTTTATCATATCCATGTTCTTCGCGCCCATATTTGCATCCATTCCACCATGGGCTACCGGGTGTACTCTGATTCTTGTAAGTTGTACCTGTACTACTGGTGACCCGAGCTTCGCCGTTGACCCTGTCACCAGGTTGGCTGCCTCATGATGCGACAGATCACGTCAATCAACTGGCGCTATATCGGCGACGCCGTCCCTGCATTCGTAACTGTCATGTTCATCCCTTTTGGCTATAGCGCCGCCTATGGCCTAATAGCAGGTTTAATGGTATACACGGCACTTAACGGGATGATCTACATAACAAAGGTTATTTCCGGCGGTTATATCGTCCCAGATGATGAAGATCACCGGGAGTATTGGACCAGTAAGTTCCGAAATTACTTTAGTATCACACTAATGATCGTGGACCTGGGCTTATTTCGTCAATTTAGTCAAGCCTGTTGGCCGCCTCCCCTGGTTCGTCTCCGCGGGACAGACAGTTACAGATCGCCTGCGGGGAACTCCGAGTAAAAGGGAAGATGTCATGCTCTCCGAACGCAGTGGAGAAACAGACTGGAAATACCGTGAGCGTATTGGCTCCAACGGATCGCATCGCGAACTCGAAGCGGTCATTGTGCAAGCACTTCCCACGGATCCTCGTCACGAAAAAGTATTCGCTAAGATGGGGGTGCATGAAATGAAATGAGTACATCTTCCATACGATAACAATATTGGGTTCAGTTTTAGGGGCATTTTCCCTCTCCCCTAGGAGCGGTAAGAGGAAACAGGTAGTTTGAGAAGCCTCAAAGTTTAGTTAGCGTCACACGCAAAGCGTATCCATCGTCTTTCCTTTCTAAAACGCCTATCGGCGTGAACCATATATCAAATAAATAATGTATTCAAACATTCAACTTCTGCCATGACCACAGTATGCAGGATCTGCCTTTTTCTGTGTTTGCGACATGTACATACGTATAATCTCACCTTCTGTACTGCATCGTGGAATTGACTAACCCTAATTTGGAATACAGAGTAGGGGCCCACTTGATGAGCCAATCATGCCGGCCACATTTCACGTATCCTCTCCAATAAGCTTTCTCCCTGTCTATCTTTTCCTAAACTGCCAAACTTCTTTCAGCCCCAACGTTTCAACCTATTATGCCTTGCCTCCTTCAACAAGATTGAACGGCCCATCTGTAAGTTTCTCTTTTTTGCTTCGTATCCACAGCATCTCCGTGTCTAATTAGACCTGGCTGCTTCCCTTTTCAACGCCCCTTTAACTCTTTGTAAACGTAGCTAATGGTTTCGTATTCTTGACGCGCAGTCACTAGCCACGAATAGTGCATGAAAAAAAGCGAAGGGTATGATATGCCTAGGTAGTGCAGAGAAGAATTCTCATCTACAGATCGAGAAATTCGATCAGCAGCGATCAGCTACTATATCATCATTATCATACAAACACCGTTTTCTGTCGCTTCACAGAAACCACCCCTCAGCACATCAATGCTCAACGCCATCTTAAGATTCCTGTCAAAGACAAGCTTTCAGTTAAAGCTAAAAAAGCGGGCTTCGATGCGCGTCTCCAAGTCATCACATCTTCGTGTTGTCAACCTTATCGTGCATGGACGTCCTTCAACGTCTACGTCCGCGTATGTGTATGCGTAACATTGATTCTGATTTACCTAAGGAATGAGAAAAAGTAAGACGAAGTTATTATAAGAGAAAAGTTTGTTAACTTAACCGGTGAGCAAAGCTGATGTGTGTGGTATTACGATGGTAAATTGACGCAGATGAGCATGGGAAGAGGAGAACAAAGGGGCTACGAGGTGTGAGCTTCAGGGTCGCGTAGCTGCAAAGGCGCATCAAAGATTAATTCTTTTTGACTTATGCGTCTTCTGCATCCACGACGACACAAATTTCCCCTCATTCATGTCAGCTGTGACTTGTCGTACCCCTCACTGTATCCATTATGATTGTTCTAACATTTGTAGCTAGTTCAATGCTGCCACCGGATATGGATCTGGCTAAGCTCACAGCATCGAAACAAAAGAAATATAGACCGTATACGACACCGTGTTCACGCTGCCTTGATCTCGATCGAATCCCGATCGAACGAAAAAGGAAGAAAAGTTGCCCAACCATCACAACAGATAACAAGGCCGTAGCGCGAAAAAATATTCGCCGAATGCTGCATTCACTCTTTTCTTCTCTCTCAGCTCGCGTTGGTTCGGTCGGCGTTCCCGACACAACCAAATATCACCAAAACGCCAGATACAGTCTTTTCTCTGGTGTTTCTTTTTCCCCGCAAGAATCTCCTGATATCTGGGTAACTAGCGCAAGGCAGCGGCAATGAAATGCCATAACGTCCGCCTTCGGTACCAAAGAACTCAAACGGTGCCTATCAATCGTCGTGTCCCGACACCCACTCCCTCGTTACTCCCCCCACTCACACGTACCAAACTTTTCTCTTACGCTAAACGTTTCGTTTGACCCTTCATAAGCCAAAATAGACAATTAAAAAAAAAGAGAGAAGACGAAGACGTCGTAGTAAGCAGTACGATAAAAACCACAACCGCACTTGTCAAAGTCTCGCTTTTGCACACATCCTCTTACCCGACCCGCCTTAATATTCCTTTTTCCACAACTCCCTTTCTCTTTCTTTATTTGCCCAACCCTCCATCTTTCTTCCTCCCCCGCACAATCGGCAAGCAATACACGCACGCTCACTCAGCACACCATCCCACCATCGATCTGATACACCGATCCAGTCACAAAGCTCGCCTCGCTACTAAGCAAGAAGCGAATCACCCTAGCCACCTCCTCGGGACGCGCCCTACGCCCCAACACCGCATCGTTTGGCAGCGCGAATCCGAGTTCGGCGTCGAGCGCATGCATGAGCGGCGTATCCACAAAGCCACTGCGGGGGTGATTCGCATGTAAGTCTAAGTTCGGGCAATAGGTTTGCTTTGCTTCCTACGCATCCATCTCGGTACTGTACCAACACGTACATCCGAGGAATAGCGTAGTAAGTCTCCTCCCCTCAAAGCAAGATTCAAAAGGTAAAAAGAAAAGAAAAAAACGTACGGAGCAATCGCGTTAATCCTTATCCCCGTCTCCGCCTGCTCCTTCGCCGCCGCCTTCGTAAGCCCCACAACCGCATGCTTTGAAGCACAGTAAATACTGCAATGCGGTTTCCCCACCAATCCCGTTATCGAAGCCGCATTGACGATAGATCCGCCTGGTACATCGCCGTTTGCAACACGCATGTTGCGTAGTTGCGCCGCCATGCAATTGAATGTCCCCTCGACATTCACGCCGAAGACGGCGGCGTAGTTGGAAGGCGAGTGCGCGTGGACTGGGGCTAGGGACCCGGATATACCTGCGAGGTTGACTGCGCCTACGTGTTTTTCCCCATTTCTATGAGTTGATGTTTTATGTTGTACTATGTGTGAAGTACAAGAACGTACCGTCTATACATGCCCTCCCCCACTTCTCACCCGCACCCGCAATCCACGCTTCCACCTCCTCACTCTTTGTAACATCGACTTTGTATCCCGTGGCGTTTTCGCCGAGTTCCAGGGCTAGTTGCAGCACGGATGCTTCGTCTTTGTCTGCGAGCGAGACTTTGGCCCCGCTTTGCACGAGGAGTGTGGCTGTTGCGCGGCCGATGCCTGAGGCTGCGCCTGTGATGGCGAAGAGGTGATTCGCGATGCCGTGCGGTGAGGATGAGGTTTCCATGCTTAGTGGTGATGTTTTGGGAAATCGGGGTTTGAAAATGGGTGTGAGGTTCTGGAATGGCGTGATGCGATGCTAATAGTTAAGAATCGCTGTGTTTTGGAGGGATTGAGGTACTCTCCTGGAAAAGTTGACGTGTTCGCCATGCTCAATGTATATCTATGTTCTTGCGATAGCGTGGGGAGCCGAGCGTGCAGCTGCGGTGCATCTCACAATGTTTAACGAAGTGCATATTGAACACTTCTTAATCATCATTTTCTCAACCACAAAATAATCAGCTCTGATATTACATTATTCATTCATCTGTTCTATCTGTTCGCTTCCTCGTGCAGATCTGTTGGACTATCTCAACTTGCACATGATTCCTCAAGCACGTACCCTGACCTCACCAATCAACCAGCCCAAGTAACACGAGAATGCGTCGTACTACATGATACAGCTGTACAGCAGCTCTATACCCAAGGAAGATGCGGCTGCGTCGTGAAACGTAGTACTCAATCCGGAACGAAGTTAGTTCCCAATCTCCACACCTCCTCTTCTCGATGCTGCCATTCCCCACTCTTATGTATTGACTATCCTTGTCCAATATGAAGACTTAAATTGTCAATTTTCTGGTTGTTTACTCCATCTCCGCGGCGCACGAAACTCCCCTTACGGCAGTGTGGTGCTGGCCGCCGACAGGCTCGCCGCATTCCGGACAGCGTGCGAGTTCCATGGGCATGCCGCACTCGCCAATAGCAAACTACGTAGTATCAGTATCAAGAGTCAAAAGAGGGAGTGTTGGTTGACTTACTGGGTGTCCATTGACACAGTTGTACCAATGTCCAGAGTGCGTTGCGATACCTCCCGGCCCACTGACCATTGCCTGTTTGATAGCTTCGATTTCGTCCTTTGAAACTTCCTCGTAGAATTCTCTATCCAGCATCTCCGCTGAGCTGAGCACGGCTTTTCTGAGGAGGTCTCGGTCACGGAAGGAATGCTGACAGAGCGATTCTGCTTGCTTTAAAAGGCGTTTGGCAGTGTTGCGGTAGTTGATTGCTCGAGTGCGATCGGTGTCCTTGGCCATTCCAGAGCTGCCGAACATTTGTGCAATACGAGCGTGATACAAAGATGACTCGACAGCAAGCTTGGGGAGGCATCCTGAAATGCAGTCGCTGATCAGTTTCTCGCATGCCTCGAGGAAGGAATGGATCTTCTTTGCGGGGGAGCCCCCACTAAAGTTGAGTGGTGCTGTTCCATCTATCTTTTTGGGTACCACTCGTGCGATTTCGAACTTATCCTCAAGTATCAAACATTGCACTTTGATATCGAGTAGGCGGCCACCTAAAGTGATGCGCTGGTCTCGGTCGCTCTCCAAATACTTGGAAGATGGGCCGAGAGATAGCTGGGCAAGTATGGCGTCGAGGGAGGCATTCTTCTTGTAGCTGTGCATAATTGCTTGGTACAGTTTGTACGTTGGTTGGTGCTGAACATCCACTTTACGGCGGAACAATATGACGGCTTCCATTAAACTCGCCGCGCTTGCATACCTGTTTTGAAGGCTTTTGTTGATTTCCCGCATCTTCATTTCGTAAACAACCTGATTGGTGTTCAGATCAGGAGATGTGCCAATAACAGCAGTGCGTGAGGTTTCGAGATTAGCCCGCTCAACAGTTAGCCTGTCTGCTAGTAGCTGAAACGTCTGTTGTCCGCTGACGATAAAGCGTTTGGACATCTCGTCAATGACAGCTCGGTTGATAAGGCGGTTGTAGCGCTGTGTCACGAACTGTTTGATTGGTTCTCTGCAGTTTGGACATTGAGGGATTGCTGCTGAAAGCGCAGAATTCTCAATCAGACCGATGAATCGACCCGTTTTCTTGTCGACCTCGTACACATCCTTGAGCCCTATGTGGCCGTCCAGAGTCTCGGTTGTGAAGAAGTGACCGCAGCCAAGGACAACGATGGGCGATTCATTGAGATCGATATCGGCGTAACTTGACATCATGATCATGTCTGGCTGTTCTTCGGATTTCATACCGCATTGCTGGCAGTATTCAGTAGGACATTCTTCACCGCAAATGCTCGGACATTGATGACCGCATGGTAGAAGCTTTGTGCAACGTTCATCGCAGGGCAAGCGATCGCATGGCGCTGAACATGGCATCTTGCAGTCGCTTTGATGCTCGCAGGACCATTCGCAAGGCTCAGTACATGGCGTGCAAGGCTCATGACACTTCTTTGCACATTTAGTATGCTTACAACGGACCTAAATACTGTCAAAAAAACGCACTGGAAGGATATGCATGTAACTTACTTCACATGGGCTTTGACACAACTCACAATCAGTTCCATCGTGGCATGGGCGTTTGCAGTTGTGACTGCAGGTCCCATGCTTCCTACCACAAGTCTTCCGGCAAGTAGAATGCTTGATCAGTGGCTTGTCACGAGTATCCTTGGTGTTGCATTGACCACAAGTTCCGGGGCAAGGATGACCGCAAGCTAGCAGAGCCTGACACGGTGTAGGGCATTTGAAGTGGGCTTTAGAAACATCCAGGGAGCATTTTACAACCACTTCGTGTCTGCAACCAGGAACAACCTTCGATACCTTGACATCGCAGACAATGCCAGCGACGTTCTGGGTGCGGTGACAGTGAACGGAATGCTTGAGATGGCCACAAGGAAGCAGCACATTGTCCAACGATATCATGCATTTCCCACAAGGCTCTCCACATGTAGGCTTTTGACATGAATGACCACATGGCTGATGTTGGCGTTGGCATGGCTGTTCGCACTGGAACACTGCATGCATAGCTTCTGAATGGCATCTAGCTCCACATCGATGGCCACAGTCAAGACGGTCAGTACATGCCAATATACAACCACCTTCAGGGCTGTATTTCTGAAAGTCATCTGGCTCTTGTACTTCGATCGGCGTTCTGGGGTGTCGAGGGCAAGACAGAGCCAGGCTTTTACCGACGCAGGCGGAGGCTCTAAGCATGTTGATAACTTTCCGCCACATTTCAATGCTAACGTAGGTTTCGGTATTGCCAATGAGATACATGCCGTGTTGGGCACGACTGAGGAGTACATTGATACGGTTGGTCGTTTTGAGGAACCCAACTTTCTGTGCCTCATTGCTTCGTACGAGTGACAGGATGACGATCTTTGCTTCTTCTCCCTGGAAGTTGTCGACAGTAGCAATTCTCAACATTTCGGATAGCTGTTTCTTTTCCAAGGGCTTACCTTGGTATGATCGAAGTCCAGATGTTACTGGTACTTGAGAAGTTACGTCATCGACCGTAAAGCCGTCGTTCTCTAATGCTTCTCGGTCACGGTCACTGAGGCAAATCTCGAAATCGCTCCTCAAAGTGGCTCGTAACTTCTGAAGTTGGCCGGTATATGGCGTCAACACCGCGATGTCTTCAGATTTGTACACTCCTTGGCGAACAATGTGTCGCACTAGTGCATGCACCATTCCAACTTCCCATGAGTTCGATTTGGAATTGTTGATATGAGTATTTGCGTCCTTCTGGTTCTCGAAGTTTTTGTGGTCGAGCCAGAAAACGTTCTGGCGCATACCAACTACATCCGGTAGATCGGTGGTGGAAGGATGATCCTGGAGTTTCCCGTAGATGGCCTCACGTACTAACGAAGATATCTGTGGACGCATTCGGCGCTGAACATTGAGTTGAGCAACGGGCATCAAAGGACGTCCCGGTTCACCAACACAGAGTCGTTCAAACTGGCTTCTATCGAGCTGGTGGAGCTTTCCTCGCTCACTTTCGAGTGATAGATCGCGAAAGTTGCTTACTGAAGGTCGAAGCTGCTCATGGTCTCCGATCTGGATTACGTGTTCGACATCGGGGAGTAGTGCGGAGATCATGTGGCTCTCGATGACCTCTCCAGCTTCTTCGCAGATGATAACCTTGCACTTTACCTGCTGGAGGACAGCAATTCGTTTCGCAAGGCCAGTTGTCGTCACGCCAATGACTTGCGCTTCTTCCAGTACTCGTCGATTCAGTTCTTCATGTACGTTTGTCAGCTTTTGTTGAGTTTTTGTAGCATCATTGATCATCTCATAGAGCTCGTCTATTTTGTTGCTTCGAGCTCCCTCAATCCAATGCGCGACTAAAGTGCCTCGCTCCTGAGTCGTCAGCGAATATACATTCGTGTTTGCTTTCTGCACGATCTGCTTTAGCAATGTCGCGGACTTTCGAGTGCAAAATGCCTGGATGTCCGATGCCCAAACATCGAATGGATGACGGCCAGCTAGTTCAAACCCTTGATCATCGATACGACGGAATTGGCTGTGTATGTTTGGGTATTCTTCGGAAATGTGATTCTTCAAGCTTTGCCACTCAGGTTGCTTTTGCATGCTGTTCAACGAAGCGAATATTGGTTTGGCTTCTCTCTGCGTCTTCTCTCGCTCGTTGTAGCTTATAGCCGCCATGTACTTTTCTGACTTGGTCTTTGTCCCCAGGTTACTCACAAAGCGGAGATTGTGGCCTTCCAACCTCTTGGACTTGCTCATTGCTCCAACGCGGATGAGCTTTGTCACACCTATATCAAGCAGGTGCTCTAGGAACTGGTCTAACGCATGGTTGGTGTAGCATACTATCATGATGGGCCCCAAATTGGCCTTTTTGCTGAGACCTAAAAGAACCTTCATAATTTGGAGACCGAGATAACTCTTTCCAGTCCCAGGAGGGCCTTGAACGAATGCATATTCACGAGTCAGCGCCGCAATCAAAGCCTGGCATTGTCCACGGTCGAGATGAGTCGCGGTTCTAAGCTTCTTAAGTAATACTTCGTCATCGCATGAGGACGTAGGATCCATTAGCAACTGGTCACCCTTGTTTGCATCCTTTAGCAGAGGTGACAAAGAGAACTTGAAGCCCGGAGTCCGTGTGTACAAAGGCGGGGGGATTTGATGCACCACCCGTTTCCCCGGGAGCCCTTCGTTTCTGCGAGGCACGATCCACTGCTGAAATGGGAGACGATTCAAGTGGTGCATCTCCTTCAGA